CTCATCGTCTTCCTCCTCCTCCTCCTCCTCCTGGTCTTCTGTAATGGCTAAATGGGAGAATATATGCAGCTGTTGTATGAAATTGACCACAACAGCGCAGAAAATCACTGAAAATTGTGTTAATAAAGCAAAGCCACACAGGCACACAGCCCCTAATCATATTTAATGGTATTTGTATTTTTATAGGGATTTGTGTAAGAGATGCAACGCCTCAGTGTCACCCTAATTAACTTTAATGTACAGCAAATGCTTTGTGGAACGGAGTGAAGCAAAGATGGATGGAAGGAGGGGAGGAGAGGGGGACACGGGGTGTGTTAAAGGGAATACTGAGGCTCAGGGCTCCAATGGCTCAGGTCTCTTTTGAGCAGATTCCTGAAAGCAGACACACACAACACACAAAAATATGCTCTGGTGGTCAGGGAGTTGCAGGCTCTTTTTGTGCTGCTAAAAATCGGTTTAAGCGGATTGTGTCATAGCCTTGCTGTGTAGCAGGTCAAAGAGCATTAACACAGTTCTGAGGTATTTTCTATTCTTTTACATAGGACATTTACACAAAAGACACAAGCAAAAGCAACAACCAAAAAAGAAAAGTAGGCAGTCCCTCAATCCAAATGGATTTGTCATTTCAATAAAACATTCAAAGGATACTAATAAAAGCTAACAAAATGTTAATGTTTTGCAATGCTTGGATGAGCAATTGAATAATACACAAACAAGCCGATAGTATTTGCATACTATGTCATATCACATTCATTTTGAGGTGATTATAAAGTTGATCCCATAGTTTGCTTTGCAGATCTTAAACATATACATACACAACTTTTCACATCTAGACTTGTGACAAAAGGAAGAATTTTTCTTCTATGAATTAAATCTATGCGGTTGAGAGATTGGCACCAATGTTACAATCACCCTATGTCCATTCAATACATTTGAGTAAAAAAATGTATGTCAGTTGTTGGCAGTGTAACGTTGGGGGAGACAGTGCATTTTGAACGTAATATTTTAGCAGACAGAAACAAAACACTAACAAGAGACATTTGCAATAACACCATTGCCACAAAGTTAGCACGTGACATGTGCGAAATAATCACTATTACAAACAAAAGTTTAAGGCAAACTGTTCCTGCAGGTCATAAGAGTGAGCCAACTAGATGTTGAAGGTCATAACTTTACACTGCAAACCAATATTGTTTTTGTATTTTGTTGAGTTTGGTTTAATGACCAGGCTCCCAGACAGAATATTTCAGTCAGTTTCAGTTATTGTGTTTTCAATACTAAAAAACACAAATGCGAAACACAAGAACATATGTCAGCAACAAGACAATGTCATGCAACTTGTTCCATTTCAAAGTTCTTTGCCTGCTTATGTGATGTGGCTGTGTGGGTCTGGGCACAAATGGATATGGATGCTCTCAGGGTAGGGAAAGCAACACCAAACACTGTCTTTGGATGAAGGTGTTTTTCTCATTTTGTTTACTTACAGTTGCAAGATCCTGAGTGCTTTACTTCAAGGAGAACCCCCAAGGAGCAAGCAGCCTGCTTCATGGCACATTCACTGGAATATGTAGTGTTGTCACTGGCACAGACAGCCTCGTCAGTTCGGCTCTCCGGACAGCTCTCATCACACAGGGAGCAGCGCCCCCGGCTCATGCGGGCGTCCCACAGACACTTCTTTCCTCCACTGCACTGGATGTCCTCGCACGACTTGGCCTCTAGGTGCAGAGACAGCATGAATTAGCTTAGGGAAATATGCCCTAAAATGGTTTAGAATGGATGCTTTTCAAGCAACATCAGATGTCTGCTGAGGCTTGGACAAGTAAGCTACAAGAATGAACTACATCCTGTTTTATTGGGACTGATATTGTGGTATTTTTAAGACACTGTGATTGTGATTTCTGGATACAATTTGAGGCAAATATTAACTTGAAGCCTTCATGTCTTTATGGCCCCCAGCACTGCTCTGCTTCACTCTGTGTTTCTCCAGTTCCCATATGGAAAAGAGCTGCCAACATCAGGAAATAATAAGATGTCTATCATCTCTTGAGCAAACACAAGTAACTACTAACACACACAGTTTGTGGACCCCCTTCTTAGTGGAATGTTGGCAGAAAGAGGAGGAGTGAGTAATCTCAGCCAGGACCACGCAGTTGGACACTTACTGATGCATTTGCCCTCATAGGCCACGCCAATGGATCGGCCCAGCAGACATGTAGCTCTTCTCAGGTGGCATGCGCTTGCATACACAATCCCGTCATTTCCACACAGGTATTGCTCGGGTGACGTCACATCTGGGCAAATCCGATTACACGTCACACAGTATGCGTTATTTGTCTGGTCCACAACGCACGTGGAGCTGCCGGGGCAAAGGACGTCACGGCACGTTTCTGGCAAGACAGAATAGTAGAAGATAAATACAAATGTCGCTGACGCACATCTTACACAAGCATAAAACAATCTGCTTACTTTTGCACCTGCCCTGGTATTGCACATCCAGGTCTGGGTGGCCTTTGCACTTCGCTTTCAGCAGCGCGCACTCGTCTTTGTAGGTCTTTCCATCCGAGCCACACACAGGACCCTTCCAGGTGATGTTGGAACAGTCTGGTGCGCACACGCAGCGCGGCTTACTCCTCCTGTTCATCTTGCACCGCTTTCCGGGCCCACAGTCAACATTGTCACACGTTTCTAGAGGAGTGCATAAAATGTTATGTGATGCTTATGAGAATTTATGAGTGTAAGTAAATATGGGGCAACCGTGTCATGTGAGGACAAATGGAAATTAATGCACCTCCACCTTTGCATGGTATGCAATTAGGCGCTCCGCCATTGAAGATCATCCACCTAAAGAGCGTGCTATTGGGGACATCCTCTTCGGTCCAGGACGTACCCAGACGGCCGCTGCGGCAGCATTCCTCTCGGCTCATTCCGGGCATGTACAGTACTTGGCATCTTCCGTTCTTTCCTTGCTGCAGCCAGCAGTTACCGGCTGCGGACAAAAGGACATAAGCTTCAGTGTGATGTACTCAGTTATGCCACAAACAAACAGCGGGCATTATCCAAGGCGCGCCCTCCCCGCGTCCCGCGTACCCGTAATCTATCTCGTTTTTTCGGGAGCAGTGGCACTGTTAACACTGTTATATCCCAGTTGTGACTGTCCCCTACAATGCCGTCTCAAAGCAGAAAGTACACGAATAAGTGGCGCGAGATGCGGGGAGGAGGGGACTTTATGCCCAAAGCCTTCTCGTTATCTCTGCACAGAAAGTGGAGTGTCTAGACAGTCTTAAATAGCAGCCAATCTCTTCTACAAAACCAATTTTTAGGGGAAGACATTGAACATCCAAACTAAAAGCAAAATATACAACGAAACATGTTTCAAAAACTAAATGTCGTTTTTAAATAAAGACATGTTATGGTGTTTTATTGGTAGAGTATGATTTTACAGACAGAAAGACAGACAGCACCAGGCGCACCACCTATAAAGTGTTCACCAAGTCCCCAAGTGAAGAAAATTACCTTATCATACTCTGCTCGCTTTTAATACTACAATATTTTAAAAGATCACTATTTTAATATCTTTCTCGAAAACATCTACAGACACTAATTTGTGCCTTATATAGGTAACTCTCCGAGTGGAAGGTGTCCAGATAAATCTGAGGCTGGCAGCAGCGCGGCTTTACGCACAACTTAACATGTAGACTCATGGGCACTGAAGTGTCCCATACCGCACCTGCTTTGACAATTCTTACACAAACTGCATGTGGGGACTACAGACACAGTCAGCAGACAAATTACACCCAGACTTTGTTCAAGTTTATCGTAGTAGGCGACTAAACAATACTAATTTTACGCTTCAAATCAAACTTTCATAAAGTAGTCGTAATTGTATGTCAATACCTTACCTTGAACTTTTTGATGTTCCATAAGATGACAAAGCCAAAGGAAGAATAGCAAAATGCCTGGTTGGAGGTGGTGTTTCAGCATCCCAAACATGATGGATGGAGAGGCAACGTGAAGCTCGTCAGTGACACAGGCAGCGCCAAAGTAATCTGCTTAAGGTGGCAGTGTTGAATAAGTGTCAGTCTGAGAATGCAGCCTCTCTTTTTAAATCTATAAGGGGTCTCGGGTTGACTGTCTTTGGTGGGCGGGCTCCTCTTCTGTGGGGGTGGGGAGATTTTTTTCTTAGCAAAGTTCGTTCAATCCTAATCAGGTGACAGAGTTACAACCAACTTTCTCCTGCCTGACTCAGTAAATGAAGTATTAACTCATCACTGGAGGAAATCCACCAGACATCAGCACCAAAAACAAACACGTCACTGAGCAATTTGAAAGTTGCTTTTTTATGTCACAAATGTACTTTTTAATGACCGAACTAATTAGAGGGAAAACAAACAGATCTCAATTTACCATTTTTGTTATGCAGAAGTACAGCATGGAAACAAAACATATAACCTTACTAACATAATAATAATAACAATCATAACAACAACAACAATAACAAAAATAATAATAATGAAATAACACATAATAATAATAATTATTATTATAATAATGTAAAATAAAGCTAGCATATTATTATTATTATTATTATTATTATTATTATTATTATTATTATTGCAATAATAACAATAACAATAATAAGATGACAGAAGGCATGCGAGCATCTTGGAGAGTGCACTCCACTGTAACCGATATTTTTTTTTTTCCACCAACTGCAGACAGAAGTGTAAATCTTTTGATGAGGGGAGCCTTTTTAAACGGATCCTTGTCCAGACAATAATAGAGTTCATAGTAGCTCTGCAGCCGCGCTTCTAATATTAGAACAGACAGTTGTTTGGGTTTCTCTCACGGGTCAAGCTTTTAAATATAATCAAACCTGTTTCCGAAGAGGCTTCACCAGACAGAGCAGTACGGTGTTGCGTTTCATTCAATGGGCACATACAAACACGCAGACCTTGGTGGGCTCTTGACGCGCTGACGCACAGTCTGCACTTCTTTAGAAGTCCTCGCGCGACCTCTTCAGCGGAACTCGGGTTACAGCTACGCTTAGAGCAGAGTGCAGTGGACTCTGGGAGGCTCTCAACGTCATTAGACAGTTAGGCCTACTAACAGCCTACACAGTGCCTTAAGGTCCACTTTATTCAGAGCACCTTGTGTGACCATGGTGTTTATGAATCATAATAGCCTATAAACACGAGCACTTGATACTACACACATCATAGGACAATAACTTGAATGATATATTTTATTTTCTGACAGCTGTCACCATGAAAATATAGAATAAACTCTAAAGGCTAGGTCATCTGAGGGCACTTAGTCTCTGAATATTGACGCACAGAGTTAGACAAGTCTCTTTTTTACTTAATCTATGAGAAAGCTAAACTTCAAACGATAGAAAGATATTAGCCTCAAGTGGTCCAAGCCAAATGTCACCAATAGCCTAATAGCAAAGACAGGCTATGTGAAAATGTACACTCGTCACTGTCTCGTGTCATGTTCAGCAATCTGTTGAGTGTTCCCAGTGTGTGATTTGTGAGACAAGTCTTTGAAGAGTTGGAGTTTCCAAAACACCTGACATGCAGTCCACTACTGCACCACTGTATCAACTTTAAAGTCCTGGCTCAAATCCTGAAGTCATCAAGGGCTTGTATGACCTTCTGTCCCAAAAGTCACTTGCATGTGTAGAACAAAACTATACACCTCCAACAAACATGTTTAGTTTATTAAATATTGTATTTGTGATTCAATTTAAGTGCGTGTCAAACATGTCCAATTCAACACAAACCAATTCAAATAAATTATAATCATAAATTATAAATGATAATCCAAGCCAGCCTGCCAGTCACCAGTGTCCAAACAGAGTAGAGAAATAAAATTAAAACGCAAAAATGTAATAGGGGTCCTATCATAAAAATAAAAAGTATAACATTGGCAAAGCAAAAGTCACTTGGTAATAATAATTTTTTAAAAAAAGGCCATGGGATCATCGTGTGTGGTTTGAAGAATATTGTTGAATTTTCCCAAATGTGACATGGATCACATGTTTGGCTGTACAGAAGCTTGCAGGAATGAACACTCAAAGGTATTTTTCATCAACTATTTCCACACTGTACTCCCTGTACACATACATCCATTACTTCTTTCACAACACACTTGCACATGAATAATTGTGAAACAATTCAATCATTTGTCAAAGCACAGAATACCACTTCCAACATGTGGGCTCCAGCTGAGACTCCCCAAAATGTGCCTAAGACTAGATGATCCATTTGGTTATAAAAGCAAATAAAACTAAAAGAAAAACAATTAAGGATACATATTTTCTTGAGTAGTATCAAATATTGTAAACTTTGTAGAGCATAGCCTAATTCACCAGTAATTATGAATTTCGTGAAATTATCGCAGCGCCACAATTCACACGAACATATCTTTGATGCATGCTGCCATCTTGTGACCATGAATTCAAATAACCTCGAGCGGGGAGCGTAGACACTTGTCCATTCTTTTTCAGAGTCCGAGGAAACACTTGGTAAATTTTATTTTGTGTGTAAATGAAAAAAACATCCATCCATCCATCTATCCATCTACCCATCTATCTATCTATCTATCTATCTATCTATCTATCTATCTATCTATCCATTTATTTATGTATCTATCTACATACATGACCATATACCAAACATTTAAAAAAAAAATCACCTGTTATCACTCTGCTTCTGTGCTATTTCTTAACCCAACTGCATTTCAAAATATGGGCTGACTCCACAAATTGTTTTTGCAGCTCTAGAATATTTTTTCCTCATCTAATGAAGTTAAACACAACATAACTTGTTGTTTAGATTTGATTAATATAAGAAAAGCGACAGTCCTTACTGTCCCCTTTTTAAAAACCCTGTTGGCTATACTACATGATAGACACACCTCACCCTAAATGATAAAAGACAAAGTGTAACAACTTCTCACAGAGAATATTAATTGTTTCCAGTGGCAAAAAACCTTTTGCTGAATTACATTAATAGTAATTTTGCAGACCCATAAGCCCATGGTATAACAGCAAACAATACATACATTCAGCTTAGTTTTTAGACCTGTCCACACCTGTTTTTAAGATATTGCAGAATTTGTTTCAAGTAGTCTTATTTAAACAAAAAGATAAACAAAAAGCAATATAGACTAAATTAGACAAAGGAAATCCTTACAACACCTCATCTACTTGTGCATTACTTTGTGCATCCTCTTCTGCCTCTTTTTGGAGCTGTTGGTACTTCCGTTTGAAAAATCCAAACTAAAATAAAAGATAATGGCATTTGAAAAGAAAAGCATTTATCTATATACCTAATGTACTAATTCGATGACTTACCTTCCACAAAAGTCCAATAGCCAGAGCTAACAGGGCCAGGCCTCCGAATACACTTCCAACAATGACTCCAACTGGGACATCACCTTTCTCTCCAGGTTTGTTCACGGTTAGCACCACCTGGCCCAGCACAAGAGACATATCATAGAATACAGTTTAAAGAGATCCAAAAATATGTGTTTAGCTGAATATTCTCACAGGAAGTTGTTTGAGGCCAATTATGAGTAAATCAGGATTAGCTGTCTCAACATTCACACTGGCAGTCAACTCCACAGTTTGGTATGTAGCCTGGAATAAATAAATGCAAGAGCACAATATTTATCATTCAGAACATGAATAAGGGAAAACTTTAACAAACCGTACTCACAGTTAAAAATGTGCCATTCCATATCCTTGTATGTACATTTATATAGTAGTTACTTATTGCTTGAGTGTCTTTGATGATGCATTTTATTTCCTGACATTTTACCATTTTGCAATCCTGTATAAAACATGTATCAATTACTTAATAACAATCATCTGATATCATTATTGTCATTTGTACAATATTTTTGACTTCTCTTTAATTCCTTTAACTTTAAAGGTGCACTACGTAACTATGTGGAAAATTCCAGGCACAGAAATAACATCTCTATCTTAAGACAAGGTAGTACACTTTTAATTGCTCCCTGCTCCCTTATCTGATGTTCAACACTTGTGATTGGTTGAATTTGTTCTAACCAGTTTGTCTGAGCCCCTGAAGCTCTCTTCAGTAAAGGACACATTGTGGCTTGTTCCACCAGAGAGGATTTTGAATGGATCGGCCAGTGCACCCACATCAGGGCAGCTGACTGAGCCTTCCTGCAGAGAAGATAACGAGCAGTTATAAGGCCAGACTCCCTACAAATATTTAAAAGGCTCCACTCACATTTGGTGTAGCTACACTTGTAACATAGAGCAGGTTATTCCCTCCTTTGCTCATGAGTGGCAGATTTAGGTACACATACAAGAGGTTGACTGGAAGGATCCCCGTTGATACCTTTTAAGTAAAATAAGTATCTTGTAAAAATATATATAATTTGAAAGCAAGCAAATTAGAAAAAATATATATTATAAAGGCTCCTGAGTACCTTTACTGTAAAGTTAAACATAGGGCCAATGTCATTCAGAGTTTTCACTGTTTTCACCACTGGGATGGTAGAGTCAGCCACATGGAAATTGATGTTGGTTTCTCTGCAACAGAAAATGTTCTAACAATAACCTTTGGACATAAAATGCTTCCATCTTCCAAAAAACCTTATAAAATACTTTTGCTATTGAAACTAAAATATGTTTTGTGTACTGTATGCATGAGTTAAACTACCTGGACAAAACAATGCCTGCATCATATCGGACAGGAACTGAGATGGACACTGTGTTATCTGCAGGTTTTTCTTCTTTTCCATCACTGAAAAAAATTACAGTAAATCCTCTGTATATTATGTCCTAAGATGTCTTAGGTTTTTTCAACATTACCTTTTAGCCTCAAATGCCACCTCAGCTTTGTTCTGCAATTGCTCAAGGTTGTAATCAAAATTGATTTGAAACTGTACCTATAATGACATAGCATGGTGAGCCTACATATAATTTAAAATAAGTAAGTACTTTAACAAGTATCAGAATCACTTTCAAAATGTGTCACTATACCTCTTCATTTGTCTTTAACAGTGGGTATCCCACTTGGCAGGTCACTGTTTGTGCCTGTGTTGAAGTGCAGCTCACCTTGTCTGTCTGAAGATTCAATGAGATATTTAGTTGGTTAGTAGGTGATCAAAACCATGTTTATAAGAATATGACATGTGGGTGCTTACTGGAGGAAAAACTGAAGAGTAGTAAAGGTTGCTGGAGTACATAGCCACCACATGTGTGTTGTAGGCATTCTCCTTTTTGTTCCTCACATTAACTATGAAGGACAGCTCTTTGTCACTGGCTGTGACCAGCACTGGAGCTAAGCTGCAACACGCGTGAAAAGTATATGGTACATGGCCGCATGACAAGCACAGTGGCATTGGAATAAAGTTGAAACAAGTATCATAATAATGATTAATTCATATATTACCATTTTGATAAAATTGTAGGCTTACGTGATAAATGTAGTGAAGATGCTGTACATGTACTGTATTTCTTATCACAAATTACATCAAAATAACAGATAGGACTCGTGTCACAAAACTGAAATTTCAAACAAAATTTTGATACTAAGGAAAAGGCTTGATGAATATTTTTTCAGTATCAATACCTGCTGGTTTTGGTATTGATTAGTATTTGGGTATGATGGCATTTTGTTTTTGTTTTTTGTTTTAAAACCTTAGATTGGAGACTATCATTACTGCTATCACCTGGACAGTTGTTTGAGTGTCTTCACATTGAGCACCAAGTCACTGACACAGACCTCATCAGAGCCACAGTCTTTAGTGAAGGGGATCTAAAACAACAGCACATTCACATGTTTCTGCAGTCAGACACTTGAAAGCACATGGTGTGTATATATAAACAGCATTTCGTTTAAACACTTACAAAAAACTCCCAGGTCTTGGTGGAATAGACATCTAGTACTGGGTTTGCAGTTTCACTTTGTTGTTCAATCTCAACCTTCAAACTGACAGAGTTGACAAAATCTGGAGCCTCCTATCAAGACAAGATAATAATGACAATCAACTTTAAGATCAAAGCTTTATTTCATAGATTATTTTAGACTTAGGGATCTTTAATTATTTATTTTATTTATTTATAAGGCCCTAGCACCAGAAGGTGGCAATGCTATTAGTAAGCAGGAACCAGGAACTGATGCGAAGTCAAGAGCCCATAGTGACCAGGGACCCTCGCCATAACAAAGAAAGCCAGTGCTTTCCAAAAATGTATAGCTTGTTAGCTAAAAAAAAAAAAAAAAAAAAAAGCAGAACATTGTACTTATATCAGAATATTATTCTTTCTTGGGACTAACCCCTCTATTTTTCATCCAGTGAGCAATGGAGAGAACTCACAAAAATTTGCCTACTATTAAATCTGCACTTCGCTAATTTTTGACTATTTCCAATTTCCAAAAATAAATAATAAGACGTGTCTGCACACACAGAATGCATTCGGGTCTAGAAATGACGGCAAACAAAAATTTGCATGTAAGATCATGAAATTTGACACAGATGTACACAGAAGTGCTTTATGTTGCATTTTTGTATGAATGCACTCTATAAATAAAGTTTGATTTGATTTTTGATTTGATGTAGATCATGACAAGTGACATATTACTTTGGCAATACTGTCCACTCCAGTCAGTCATATTTGATTAAAACTTGATTAAACTTGACTCAGCATTTTTGTCAATGGCGTGCTTTTATTACAACACAACACAGGCAAATTTTTTGATACTCATCTTATGGTCTCTGAGCAGAAAATGGCACAATTCTTTTGAAATGTTTAATTTTTACAAATTGCCCCAATTTGCACATACAATCTCAGATTTCTGTGAACTTTGAAATAGTTGTTAAACTCCCTCCGCTAAACTGAATGTTAAAAAAAAAATGAATTTGGTGCGTTAATGTCCCCTACAGAATGAAATTAAATTTAATATTGGAGTGAAAATGTTTTTCAAAAAATTCTGAAATTTTGTACAAAATTCCATTTTGGCATCCTGATCCAAAAAGTTAATGACACCCATGTCATATTTTTCATGGCACTGCCATAACAATGACATAAACTTGCAATATTATTCTAACGGTAAATCGCCCCAACTTTGGTTGATTTCACTCACATATTTTATTTATTGTAGATATAGATGTCATAGATAGACATACATTTGTGAAATGGTCTCATTTTTTGGGGGGGATATAATGGCAAAACTAACAAAAAGAATGGCTGAGGATTTAGTTTCAGCTCTACAGCATTCAAACAAGGGCCATTTCCAGAAGTACATTTTTTGTGGAAAAAAAAGAGAAGTAGAAAATCCATATTGAGCACAGAGGTTTTAAAAATAAGTTTTCCTGTAACACAAGAAAAAGCGTTTCTTTAATTAAATACACATGCTTTGCAGATATTAGGACTGCAGCATGTATTTATTACTGATAAAGAGCATATATGAATCACAATAGCAATAGAAAGTTACGAAATTGGAAATATCCTATGTAATCTAAACTTCAGACATTCCCATACGCATAGGGTTGATACTTTTTAACTACACACTGTACTCTCACTGTATAACTTATTTCAGCAACATTTATGTAATAAATGTGGGTAATAAATGTGGTATGATTTAATAATAATAGTAAACTCAATTATTTCCAAATTTTGTTCAACCCTAAACCTTTAATTCAACCTGTAAATATAGCCGCAAGCAGCAATGATCGGTAAATTTGGTTCACATATTCGTGACATGCTCTTGATTTAAAAATTCAATAATGCTCACATTATGTTACCATGGTAACAAGCCAAAAATCTTTCTTCGCCAATGGGATATCCTGACAAAAACTTTGTAGGCAAACAAATTTGGTAACCAGATGCATCATGGCAAAAGGAACAAAAAATGTTTTATTGTGTACACTTATTGTGACCACGCCTCTTTACAGACCGGAAGTCCAACATCTTGGATTTGGAAGGGACCCTCCACCTCAGGGTCACTGGGTTCCACAAGATACACGTCTCTTTGCAAGGGGACTTTTGGTTGAACCATGCAGACTGGTCCAACAGTGACAACGCCCTATATAGAGACACTATGGTAGAATTGAGAGCCACCTTAATGAAGAATTTGTTTGTATTGACATGTCACGAATTATTATCACCGTCACCATGAACACTTACAGTGGATTAGGAGATCCAGCAAACCATGAAGGTACGGGGGATGCTGGGAAACCCATCTGAGTCACACGTTGAGTGACTTGGTAAAAAAAAAAAAAAAAAACCTGTGTTGGATGGGACACAGGACGAACTTGTCCACCATGATAAACATGCTGAACACGAAGCTGAAAATGTCAACAAGGTCAAACGAAGGTGTGAAAACTCAGCCCACAAAGCCTATACAGTTCCTCACATATTCAGGGGCAACCTATTCCATTATTCAGCAGAAATCCACGCCTGCCATTGAATTTAGTAAAAGGTTCATTTGATCAGTTGACTCAGCCGAAACTGTAACCAAGGAACGTTTCTCTGTTCCCATTATTTGCTCTGACCAAAACTCCTCTCCAATCCAAACTCTAACCCATAGCTTCAGTATCTCTACCTACCCTATAAATTTATTAGGAAGAGACACGTTCATTGTATTCAATCTAAATTTACTATCGACGCCAGATGGCTGACTGTATCTAGGTGCACATCTGATTATGCAATGGTGTCATTGGACAAATATCTATATGTATATAAAAGGAGAATTCCCCTTGAATGGTCAGTGGGCCTGTCCTATCTCGGCCATGCCCTGGTCTTCCCAGGGGTCATTTTTAAACCCAACACTAACAAGCATTACACCACTCATGTGTCACCACAATCACATGAACCTTACTCACATTCTTTTTTTAGTGACCTGAATGAAGTACTAGACACTGGCTTCCTGTGATGGACTGAACTGCACTGCACCCTGACGAACCGTCAGGGTGCAGTGCAGTTCAGTACTTGATACGGCTCACACTCACATATCTCATTGTCCAAAGGTCCCCCACGATTAATGGAGAGATCTGGGACCCTTTGTACAACAATGCCTTCTGGTTACTGATGGGCTGCCTACTATTGACTCTCCACCAAATTTGGCCTTCAAAATAAATTGTGTACACTCAATTACCACATTACACTCCCTCTATGTGATGGAGGACAAACCCACACTCTTCTTCACCATGCCTTTACCTTAGACTCCCTACCAGCTGGCACTAGCCATTTATGGGCAAAAAAACAAGTATGACATAGGCCTGATCAAGTGTTTATTGCCTCTGTGTTCTTCAGAACTCACTAAAACCCCAGGTCATAGAAGGCACTAGACCAGTGTTCAAATTGTTGCTTGAAGCCGGGGTAATCATCCAGTGCCCAGACTCCCCTGTATGGACCCCTATCTTCCCAGTGAAAAAGATTAAAGCATCACCCACACCAAATGAGTGGCAGTTTGTGCAGGACCACTGCACTGTAAACACCACAGTTCATGCATGGCCCCCATCATCCCTAATCTATATACTACAATGGCCACGGAGGGCCACAAAGATTTGCTCTCGAAATTGCACTTTATTCAGACTACTGTGATGTTCCTCAGACATGTGATCTTGGCCTAGGGCAAGACACTGTCCTCCAAGCGTACTGCTGTTCACAAACCAAACCAAAAAAACAACTCATGTGGTTCCTAGGCACGTGTTCCTACGGTCACAGCTTTATTCCAATTTACTCTACACTCGAAGCCACCCTTCAAGTCATTACACATATTCTTGGGCTCACATCGCTTTGACAAGCCATACCAGCTTGTCAAAGCCTGATCCTGTCAGATCTTAGAAGCTAAGCAGGGTCAGGCCTGGTTAGTACTTGGACGCGAAACCACTAGGAAGATCAGGTACCAAACTTACTTACTTACTTTCACATGTGACATGGACCGAAGAAGTATTTTGCGATTTAAAACTAGCCCACCAAACACCTCCTATGTTGGGCATCTTAGACCCAGAGTGACAGTTCACTCTCGTGGCAGACGACCATAATGGCTGTATGACCTCTGTACTGATGCAAGAGCAAGGTCAACAAATGCGTCCGGTAACATACTTCTTGTCCAAACTCAACCCAGAGGCTGCAGGCTTTTGTGGGAATTTTTTGGGGATTTGCTAACCTATATATTTTTGGAAAGGTTATAGTATATGTAGTCAGAAAATCAATGTTTGCATTTGCCCATATGTCTTTATAGCGGCCATATTGAATAAAAAAAAATGGCCGCCAAAAAACCCTTTTTGGAATATCTCAGCCTCTGAATAAGTTGAAATGTTGATTTTAACTGCTAAACCCACATTTTCAGGGTCAGGGAATCAAATGGTGCTAGTTACAAAGCTGTAAGACCTACCCACATTAACCCTTAGATGCATAAGTGGGTCAAAAATTACCCGGTTTGGTTGTTTTCTTGCAATTTCACTGTAATATTCATGTAATATGTTTCTCCAAAACCATGTTTTTTTTTTGTTGTTTTTTTATTATCCTGCTGAAATACATCAACAATATGGGTAAAACAAATTATAAACATCTGGTCAGATAACTCAAAGAGTTTAAAAGTAGCTAACATAAAATGTGTATGGTGAATGTCAACACACACATTTAGACACAATATGATTACTCAACTTTTTTAGTAGACATTTTCTATACATCATCATTATCATCATCACTTTCATACAACCATAGACTGTATATGTGAGTTTACAGATCTAACGCTGTAGCCACCGTGTGCCAAACAGGACGTTCTCCAGGAGGCTCTTCCGGCTCCTTCTGACTCTGTCTCCAATGGACTTACATCAGGATCTTATGGCTCCTCTCTCTGTACCTGCTGCAGTGAGCCTCGACATTTTGGTCTTAAAATTTTTGTATTAACCCATGACACATGGGCCTGAGCCTTCATTAGGACGAACTGCTGCTATCGTGACATCATTTATTTAAAGAAAACTAAATGAAGCAAATCGCACATGCACTTA